TGGCACAAACTGGCAGCTCCTTCCACATAATTTGCCCCTTAGGCAAAACAAAAGCCTTTTCGATAAGCTCAATTTGGTGTTGATGGCGAGGATCCACAGCCACTGAACCTCAGCAGGGTGCAGGAGCGGCGGCAGATGGAGATACAACTGACTGCAGAGGTACAGTATTAAGAAATGAAGGGGGAAGGGGTGCAGTGCACACACGAGCCTCAAAGGAGATGACAGAGGAAGCGCTATTTGCACACACCGCACCCTTTAAAAGAAACTGCAAAGTGTAGCTAAAGAGAATCAGTCCCGCACATTGCCATTAATGCCTTTAATAGTGTAGCTAAAATAGCAAAGTCTGGGTCAAAAATTACTCCAAAATGTGTTCTTTGAAAAAAAAAATGCTATAGAAAATAGTGATTACAATGTACAAAACAATGAATTACCTCTCATTGCGTCTAAGAGTCTACTACCTGATCACAACAAAAGGAACAACACTTGCCATATTCAGTAGCTCAAAATGTATGTCTTAAACAAATAAACTGCATACAGTACACCAAATGGGATGTGTTCTTACTGAGTCATGCCTAAGACTTCTTGAGCCATGGACATTGTGGTTTCACTGTACAACGTTTCCAAAAGGGCTCAAAAAAACACCATCCTGTGATGAGAACATCTGAGAGTCTTTGTCTACCCTTTTTTTTTTTTGGATAAAAAAAAAAGAATGGCATTTGCCAACTTAGGCAGTTAAGGTGATTAAACTCCATAATGAACAAAAAATGTATCAACAGATTGGCCACACAAGACCAATTAAGCCCACAAAGTGAACAAAGAGTTGGATTGGGGTCCATCTGGGTTTGCATCCAGATGCACACAACAACCTAATAACCATGTAAAAAAATCCAACAAAAACTGGTCACAAAGAATAAATCCTGTCAATATTCACACACGAAAACTGTATATGACAGACCAGCTTTAATAAATAAGCCAGTCCTGAGAATAAGTGAGCCTTGCTAAAGTCCAGGCCACAGTGAAAGGGATTAACATGACCTTGTGGGATGGCTGCTGTACTTATGTAGCCCCATTCCTGTTCAAGACTGCAGGATCAACTAGCAATCCGGTTTGAACTGATATAACTCCTGCACGTGTGAGAGGACAATCCATAATTCTTCACACGACATGCAGCATGACAAAAGCACTTACTAAGCACCTACAGTAATTCCTGTGACTGATTAGTCATATCATAAGAGATTACAACAATGCAACTGGGTGCCTGGAACCTAGAACAGCTTTATTGAGAATAAACATGCAAACACCAAAAAAACATTCTCGATATATGGATTCTCCTTAAGATGATATGTACCCATGTAAGGTATGACAAACAAAATAGATGTGGCAGGAAACAGGAATACAAAAAAAATCTATTTTATTGTTTTGTTCTTCCTGTCTAGTACGCCCAACAGAGCAAAGAGGAAAAGCTAGGATTTCAGTTGCCATCAACATCTCAGCACCATTAGAGGTTGCCTGAGGAAGTCAAAGCCACACTGGGAAGAAAAGTGTGAAACCCAAACCAGAGGAACTTCAAATCTAAGAGCTAAGACCAAGAGACATGGCTTGGAATCTTGGGTCAGGGTTAAGGAGACTGAGATCCTCAGGACAGGAATGTATCTGGAAAAGGAATCCGGTGTTGGATGTGAGACACTCTTTCGAGAGACACTTTAAAAGTAGGAATTCCTTTTTTAAAGCAGGTCAGCTGTTGTTCCAGGCGACATGATCACTACATCGATCCTTTTTTTAGGTTGCTCCTCTGAAGTGGACTTTGCGGGTATTTTTAACATAGCTGACACTGGACTGAGCCGGAAATGTATTTGTGGTTCTGTTAATGAATGGACGCATGTGCTGTTTGAGGAATGAACTGCATTCCTCAGGTCAGTATGTGAGCGAGAAACATAAACATCCCTGCATGCTGTGGATGGGCATGAGTGCCAGAGTAAATTATCATGTACAGTAATTGCGAGACTCAATTTCAAAACAATTTTATTTCTATATCCAGAAACATGTCAAAAAGGGGCCTCATTATTTATTTTGTGTTTAGTTACAGCATCATTTCCAGCTGCATCTTTGGGTCCAGTTTGTCCAGTTTCCGTCAATATTATCCAAATTATTTCACTCCAGTGCAGAGGGTGTTCATCCAGGATGCTTCTTCCATTTAAAAAAAGAAGTAGTCAGAAAATACAATGCATTTTAGTTTTTTTTTGCGATTTACTTGTATAAGAAAAACTGGTAACTTTTTACTTAAAGCCTTTATGTATAATGCGTTAGAAAAGTAGTTTTAATGCATTAATTATGCCTTGTAATACACCTTATAATGCATTGTACAGTCTCATGAATAATTGTAACCACAGTTAACTTAATACATTATAACACTTATCAATTCATTGTTACACTATGCATTTCAAATTCGGTTATAATAATTTATGACAAGATATAATGTATTACAATGCACATTATGAATAATTATTATGCATTATACCCTTTAATACCCCTTTATAATGCATTATACTCAAAGGCTTTAAGTAAAGTGAAAAACTTGTGTAAGAAAGAACTTCCACACACTACTCAAACATGCATTATTACACAATTGTATTAGCAATGTTTCGATCATTTTACGGTAAGCCTGTAGGAAGGTTGATTGTCCAGAATGTTGTTTCCAAAATTTTATAATGATGCAAGTTTGAGTAGTATGTGGAATTTATAATTTTTTTGAGTATACTTTTATCTGACGCACCTATGAATTATTCAGGTACAAGGCACTATATGTTCAACTTATATAAGAAATAATTTGAAATAGATACAATATAGGCAAAACTTCCTCAAATATGCTGTAAAAAAACACATAGCAGAATTCTAACTTACACAGAAAATATCTATTGAATATTCTATTGAAATAGTTTTCAAGGCTGAAATCATTGACTGAAACAGCTCTTTTCCAGTTTTTCATGCATAACATGGATAAGCTACAACAGGTAAACATGTCAGTTCACTGCACTTCAGCATGACCAAAAACGATGCAAGAGTAGCAATATGTAAAATATGTTCAGCTGAAATATCCATATGCTGCTTATTATCGAAGAATGACTAGTTTTAGTTACTACAACTGCATTTATCAACTGTGAACACAACACTCTGAACATTATACCAAAAACGCAAATTTCATTTTAATACATTTTTAATGGCTTTCTAAATGTTTCTAATTTATGTTTCTAAAACACCCTATATGTACTGTTCTAGAGGAACACAGGGTTAACTCTCACTTTAAAGCCTTGATGAGACTATCACAGGTGGGAGAGCTGAACGAAACGAGAAGCCTATATGCTTCATAAATCTCTCCAGGGTGGATGAACCCACTAGTCTGTCTGGGAGCAACCAAACTTAGTCATAAGGATCAGTAGCCATGGACAGGTAAGCTCCAGCAGGATGATCTAAATGACACACTCTGAGTGTTCAATAGTTTAGTGACTCAGCAGCTGGCAGAGGAAGGATGAGGGCTTGTCTCAGGGAGAACACCGCCTGGGGGGGAAGCTTGGGATTTGGCAATACCATTACGCCTTGTCCCAAGTGTGGATTCAAATGGGAAAGAAGGCAATGCTTTGACATATCAGTGAAACATAACAGCGGGAATGTTAGTTTAACCCTGAATTATAAATCATACAAGCAAAGTGAATAATCTTAAAGTCACAGCTCAGAAAAATCCATCCTGATTATCAGACACATTGTTTTAATAATTCCTTCCAAACCATACTTTTAAATCATGCCTCAATAATTCTGCTTTAGATCTGAATTTAAATGCTTTCAATGTTTCAGATTAATTGAAGCCACACTGGTTAATGAATGTGGCCTTCCTCCTGACAGCGGCCCATGTCTATAAATAATCATGGAATGTTTGCGTTGCTAATTCTAAGCCTCATCATTCTGGCTGGATCTTAGATGCGTCTCAGACCCTTTCTGTCCTCCATCCACCCCAGACAGATGTTGAATTATTCTTCCCATTCAGGCCTGCTGTTGTCTTCCAATGCTCTGCGATGAAAGCCCGACTTTATATGTGGCTTCATTCACAATACAACATACAAAGTATTTGATTCTGTCTGATAAAGTAAAAGGGTTGTGTGGAAAATAGCTGCCTATTTAATGAGGTACAAATAACTATTCTTTAATTAGACTCTTCAAAACATAGACCACCAAAGTTTGGAGACAACAACACATGCAGTGCAAAAAGTAACTGGTTAAACCTGACACTCAATTGTGATTTTTGAGATTTTTAAAATGTATTTCTTTTGTCTACCACACTGACCTCAATATCTACTCTTTGGTGGTCTGAAATACTGGAAGGGGGTTTTTGAGGCTATCGAAATGCTATACAGTAGTATCTAGGTAATACTGCTGCAGTGGGTCAGTGCGTTGTGTGTCAGGTCAGAGCTTTCATTGCCAGGAGGTTTGTTCTCATGCTGACAGAAGAGCAAAGCAGACAGAGGGAGGCATGAAACACATCCTGGGGGTCCTCACTGGGGCATTTATGATCATTTTACTCTGGATCAAGATGGAATTTTGTTCACCACTTTTCTGCAAGCACTATTGATGTTCAAAGGCAGTGATCTGGTGTTAAATAACCTTTGAACTGGTAATGAATGTGAGAGGGACTCCCCATTTTTCCTCACCTGAAGTGACAGAAAATCCTAACAGATTTGCCACCTAATAATGAACCACAACAAGTACTGTTTACACTTTATAGACCATGTTTTTATAGTTATATTTATAGAGGAACGTACAACAACAATTTATAAATATTTCCCTTATATATATATATAATTATTTAATTATTGAAATACGTTTTACATATTATTCTGGTTAAAATATTTTAGTTCATGACAGTAAAATATGACAAAGTGATCAAAACTTGAAGTAAGCTCAGAAACATTATTTTAAAGGCAGCACTATCACAAAGGAAACAGGGAGAGATGGCTCCAGTGAAGTGTTCAAGTTCTCCACCCACCTCAACAAAGAAGGTATCCATCTGTATTAAGGTCCTGTCCGGTGTTTGGTGCTCTGGGTACCACTGACTCCGTACTCTGTATAGATGCTCTTCATTCACGCGTATGCTCTTCAACACCCAGCTGAAGTCCCCATCGCACCGTCCAGACAGTAATTCCTCTGAATAAGCTTAAAGTTTTGTTCAAACACTCTTGACAAACTGATTCGGAAACCGCTATGAGGGGTGGATGTCTCTTCTGTGAATTTGAAGAAGCTCGTGAGTATCCAGCGGGCGGTCCGGCTCGCCTCTCGCAGCGTGCGCTGGTGTATCTTTGTGTAGAGAAAGCACAGAGGCCACCGGCTCATTTGGGTATGACGGCTGGAGGCGGGGCTTGGCAACGACACTCCGCCCACTAGACACACCCGTGTGAGAGCGCTAGAGCCGCCTATAGGACAGCGTAATAGGACGTTTTTTACATATAAAATGAAGTGCTCTGGCCCCAAGCTGTTATTCCCAAGCTAAATATAAAATCATAAAAGTGATTAATATATGATATATATATATATTCATCATATATTAATCATCTTTTTGATTTTATATATATATATATATATATATATATATATATATATATAATTTTGTATAGAAAAGTGATGTGGCTTTTTCTACCTTTATTGTTATATTATGAGCAACTTTTCACACGTTTTTGAACGTTTCTCCAGTTATGTTAAATGTATTCATAAAAAAAAGATACAGACAAAAAGATGAGTATTTAAGTTGCAAATTAATGCATGTGTATATGTGCTTGTGCTGTTAACAGTTGTGTGTGTGTGTGTGTTTTGTTGTTGTTGCTCTTGCTGTCTTCATATATTCCCCTAATTGTGAAGCCTGAATAAATATACATTTGTGTTTTAAATTTTAAGGCACAGTAGAGATTTTGCAATTGTCCTCAGAAATTTATTATAAATATATAAAAACTTTTTTTTTTTTGAGCATTCCAATAGAGAGAGAAAAAACAGATATCCAGGAAATTCTATTTTGGGGGAAATCTGAAATGGCTTTGACCCACTTAGTGTCTGGAATTACCACTGTCCTCTTAGGAAAGTCACCCAAATTCAACCTAAGTTCTTACACATCGGTCATCACTGTAAAACATTTAAAGAAAATTAATAACATATGCTAATTAACAACTCTATCTATAAAATATTCATACAGGTATTTATGTGTAATAATAATATCAAATCAATATTTGGGAATGGTTGTGAATGATATGTTAGAATGAACACAATCAGGGTCCACACCCTGACATTCTGTTAGTATCAATAATGAGAGCCATTAAAGTCAGCTTGTTTGACCTTTACAATGGGGTTAATTATATTCAAGTGAGCTCCTATGAATCTCTATTAGGAGCTCCTCTCAAGTCACAGGCTGAGGGAGGTCTGTCTGTATGAATGTGTTGCAGCTGCTCTTGCTGGCACTGTGCTATGTGACCTCTCTCCTTTAAGTTAGCTTTCTATCAGCCAGGGCTGCAAGGACAGAGAAAGGCCAGAGCAATATTAAACTAGGTTTAAAAAATGATACACTGAACACATTGTGTATGCAAAATAATGTTGCATGTAAATGGTTGTTCATCAGACTTTTGCTGAGCTCTTTAACTCTGGGAGTTTGGGACACAGCATGAATGTTTTAAAATGACTTGGATCCCCAAACTACAAGTCTGAACTCAAAAGTACTTTGATAGGCCCAAATTTAAGTGCAACAGTCCCTGAAAATGTATATCCTATAAATATTTTAAGATATAAAATTAGATTTGGTTAGATAAGAATCAATTGAAATGGAGTCAAGTCAAGTCAAGTCACCTTTATTTATATAACGCTTTTAACAATACAGATTGTGTCAAAGCAACTGAACAGCATTAATTAGGAAAATAGTGTGTCAATAATGCAAAATGACAATAGTAACCACTCATTTTTCAGTTAAAGACAGTTCATCATGAATTGACTCTGAAAATGGGTGCCTGTCTGGTAAATTTTCTATTTTTCAGTTATTAAAGGAATGGTTTGCCCAAAAGGAAAACTTGTTGAAAATGTATTTTTTACAAACATGCAGCTTTTTACTTTACAAGATGTCAATTGATGGATTGGAGTCGTGTTGTGGATTATTGTAATGTTTTTATCCGCTGTTTGGACTCTGACGGCACCCATTCATTGCAAATGATCCATTGGTGAGTCAATTTCTCCAAATCTGTTCTGATGAAGAAACAAACTCTCTTATATGTATTGATGCCCTGAGGGTGAGTTATTTTTGGGTGAATTACTCCTTTAAGAGGAGATCAGCCACTGTCATGTGTAAACTACAGAGAACATGTTCTGTTTCCAGTCCTGACCTGTTTTTCATTGCATTCTCTTGTATTTCTGAGCCTGGTTTAACCTAACAGGTTCTTTTGATTTAATCCCACAGTAAACTGCCCAGTCAAACTGATTACTTGAGTAGGCAATGAAGCTCATTACCTAGATTTATATCTAGCTCTGTTCAGACAATCAGACTTTATTCTGTGCAGGTTTCAGATCCCTCTAACATCAATTCCAAACGCTGCTATAAACAGCCTTCGACTGTGTTTGCTTTAGACTGAGGCATGTGGCTGGAATGGCATCAGGTGCCGGTGACAGATCCCAGCAGAAGGAGATCTGTTACTGTAAATGACAAATTTCATGCTAAGTTGCTGATCAGTGCTATTCTGTTATATTGCTTTGTGCTAATTTACCCAATAATTTATAACAAGTGCTGTTTCTTTATGTTGTAATTCAGATTACAAATGAAAAGAAAATCTGAATGATCAGTTTCAATTTAAGTGGGATTTTATGACATTATCAGTATTCAAGGATGATGTACATTGTATTTTTGGATGGGTGAGTGTTGTGTTAAAGTGGTGCACCAACCCCCATCTATTTCAGCAAACAAAAAAGAAAGTAGATTTGTAATTAGTCTCACACCATTTCATAATCTGACCTGGTTCAACTGTGTGGTGTACTTGCTGAGTTGCATTATAGAAATTTCAGGTCACCAAATAGATGAAGTCTGGTGCAATACCTGAGCTCAGACAAAGGCAGACAGTGGGGTGGCTGCCACTGGCTAATCAGAGCAGCCCATTAGGAAATGGGGGAGGAGAACAGACTGAGACAACCTGGCAGTGTTTCTGTAGCCCCCATAGCCCTCTGGAGAATATATTCATTAAACAGCACCAACTCTATGTGATACATGCAGTAATTTTATCATTTCAGATTCAGCTTTCAGAAAAGCGTGTTTAAGAATACGATAAAAATGCTGGATGAAACAGTAATAATATCAAAAAATGTGTTAAAATAGAATGATAAAACAAATGAGAAATGAGACTCGTTTGGAAAGTTTAGTGACAGTGTTTTATACAAACAACATTTTAATCAATATGCAATTATTTTAATTATATATGTATATATTTTATGTTGATTTGATAATGTAATTGCATATTGATATCTGTCACTCCAAACTCATTAGATCCTGTCGAAGACAAATATTTAAAAAAAATTAAAAAACAACCATTTTTAATGCATATTTGATATTATTACTGTTTCACTCAGCATTATTATGGTTTTCATTTCAGATTCAGCTGATTTCAGAAATCACACAAAATCAGTTTTTAATAGGTTTATACATCTAACATTATTCTAATCATCTGTAACGTGTGCTGGCTGTATAATCAAGCGCACGATGAAGGAGTAACTTCAAAAGGGGTATTTAATAATAAATCCAGGAGAATATCCACAATTTCATCAACACACAGCAACGTACAAACAATAGCAGACAGGGAACAGAGGGAAAACTAAGGGAACACAGGCAAACTGTAAAGCAGAGAAACCAAACCACAACAGAAACGTGACATAACTGTAGAAAAATATACACTTTTAATAAATATATTCATAATATATTTATTATATTAAATATATATATTTTAATGTTGCCTTAATAATATCATGCTTTATATTTTTCTCACATGGTCGGTCAACTGGTTTAGACTCTTTATACATTAAAATATACATATTTTAGTAAGATCATCATTTTTGGGGGGTCTGGGCATTAAAATGTTTGAAAACCACTGGCCTGACACAAAGTAAGCAAGGACTGCAACTGAAATGCCCTCAAAAACGAGAGAGAGAGAGAGAGAGAGAGAGAGAGAGAGAGAG